CCCTGCCAGCCCTGGGACTCTGTGACATATGTTGAGTCACACAGTCTGACAGGGAATAATTGAGGGCAGGTATTAAAGTAATTTTGTGTCATTTCCTCCACATCAACCCAGCTAAGTGTTAATAGAAGCTGGAGGCTCCACCACAGCCACCATCAGTTGCAGTGTCAATACAGGAACACGTTCTCTGTCAGCTGTGACATAAGGCTGAAGAAAATGGAGTCACTTACTCACAGGGATCCACTTGATCCACTTGATCACTTATTTATGATTTCTTCTGTGAAGTGTTCACTTTGGGTTTGCAGGAGAGGACTGAGAGCAACATCAAACTGCTGAATGGGAAGCAGCCTGCCTCAAGGAAAGCAAAACTTCGGAGTCCTTGTAGTAAAATCCTCGTTAACTTTTGGAAATCTCAGTAAACCCTTGAGAACTCTCAGTAAACCCTTGAGAAGTCAGTAAATTTGAAAATCTCAGTAAATATTTGAGAACTCTTAGTAAACCTTTGCATTTGGTTCTTCACAGTGTCTGGAGGCAGAAGTCAGCCCTGAAATGTGGTGGTTCCAGCAAGGCCTCTCGTTCCTGCCCGTGGCGCTGGTGGTGTGGTCAGCAGCATCGTTTGTGTTTTCCTACATCACTGCAATTGTCCTGCACCACGTTGACCCTTTGGTGCCCTACATCAGGTCAGTGATGTCCACCCTGTGTCAGAGCACTGAACTGACCCCACTCCTGTGAATTCTTCCCAATTCCAGACTTAGATAGCAGTTCTTACCCAACAGCTCCAGTTCTAAAGTTACATTACATTTATAGTTAGAGGTGATATTAAACTGACAGAGCAGAAATTCAGGTTAATTGTTAGGAGGAAATTCCTTCCCTGTGAGGATGCTGAGGCCCTGCCACAGGTTGCCCAGAAAAGCTGTGGTTGCCCCATGCCCTGAAAATATCCAAGGCCAGGTTGGAACAACCTGAGATGGTGGAAGGTTGGAATGAAATAGTTGAGATGAGCTTAAAAGTCCCCCCCAACCCAATCCATTCTGGGATTTGTGTGTTACTCTATTTAAAGATGTCTGGTTTTGTGCAAAGCTCTAAGCTTTAGCTCTATCAACATTCCCTTAACATTATGATGAACAAGGGAACTGGAGGTGCCTCACCACACCCCTGCTCAGAGTGAAGCCACTCACTGACACCAGGTTTGTTGCACAATCCATACTAAAATCTACATTGCCAACTTTATTCCATCAAGGCTGATATAACTGAAAGCTTTGCCCTTTTAGTTTTCCATGTTCTTAATTTTTCCAGTTTTAATCCTTTTTGTTCACCTTTAATGGCATCTAGATCGCTATGAAAGGAACAGTTATTCTGAGTGTGATCATTCCCTGCACCAGGGCTAGCTTGTCTTTACCATGGTAAAGCTCTAAAACCAGCACAGCGTAGTCTGAATAATGAAAAAAATCAGGGAAAAATATCTGGGAGGGGCTTTTTTTAAGAAATTTAAGTTAATTAATTTAAGAAATAAGTAAAGTTGTGTTGGAAGTATTTTTAATGTATAGATATAAATAATATAGGATATGTATTACTCCATTTATCTTTTCCAGTGATACAGGGACAATACCACCTGAAAGATGCTTATTTGGGATCATGTTAAATGTTTCAACCTTCTTGGGTGAGTACAGAAAGCTGGCCTTGGTGAGGTGTAGGCAGTTCTGGAATGCAACAGCTTTAAACAAGTTCACTTCCTTCTCCAGATCATGAAACAGCCCACAACTCTTACTCAAAAACTAAATACTGAACAATAAATCTCAATTTTCTTAAGCAATTCAAAGTGTGTATCAGGGATGTTATCCAGGAATTGCCAACATGGCAATTGCACATTCCAGAAGGGCAAAAAGTGCATTAAAAAAACTAACAGAAAAGTAAAAGCAATAAAAATGCAAATTCAAGGCAGTCACCTTACCTGTGCTGCAACGATGGAGGGAGGGAAAACAACCAAATAGAGCTTTTAAATTAAATGGATCAGAAAAATTTATTAATTTGACTTGTTTGCCATTATATTATTTCAATTTTCACTTCCAGCCTTTCAGCTTTCCTATTTCACTGTGCCCTAAAAAAATTATTGTATTGTAAGTGTTGCCTCTGTTACTCAGCATCTTCCCAGGTAAACAAGGACACTGCTTCCTGGCAGGAATCTTAGTGCCTGTGGCTCTCTTTGGCAGGGATGGCCACCATGTACATCCGGTACAAACAAGTGTCTGCCCTGAGCCCAGGAAATCCCAGGATCCTCAGGCTGAATAAGCTGGGCCTCACGCTGGGATGGATGAGCTGCTTTGGACTCTGCATTATTGCCAATTTCCAGGTTTGTGCTCTGCTCCTGCCAGAGCTGTGTCTGTTCTGAGATATCTGGTAAACTGGGGATTTACAGAAAGCAGCTTTCCATGGCAAAGTGCTTTTTTTGTCAAATTCTCTACAGAGAATTAAAAAATACAAGGTTTGGCTTATAATTTGTTAGTTATTCCCTATTTGCTTTGGGACTTGTGAGCAGCTGTTCATGACATTTCAAAACATTCCTATCCACCAAGCATTGCAGAAGCCACACTTGGATCTCCTTCCAGGCAGGTTGAAAGCCTGAGGTCCAGATTGAAAACCCACCACTGTGACTCAGGAGAATGAGAGAGGTGTCAAATAGTAAAAACTTGTTACAACTAGAAGTAAAGCCAACAAAACCACCCAACCCCACAAGCCCAGCTCTGGAAAACCTGCCCTCTCAGGTAGATTTTCCTTCAAACCTTCTCAAATTCTTGAAAATTCTGCAACATTAATTCTTCTGATTTTCTCCATCCCAGGTCTCTATTTTATTTTTTTTTCCCAATACTTTCCACTCCAAAAAAACCAAATCTGATATTCTCACCCATCACACCATGAGCAGGTCCCAGTCGTTTGGTTTATTTGCCTGGTGATTATATAATTGCCAGCCTTATTACATTAATTACCTGATGGATTTGGGGGCTCTGTTGTGGTGCCTGTAGCCACCACAGGCTGTGGTGTCACCTTGGGCTCCTGCTGGATTAGGGACAGGGAAAACCAAAGAGGAAAAGCTGATGGGAAGCTCCACCTTTTCCCCAGCACAGCTTCTCAAGTGCTTCAGCTGCCCCACTCTTAGAAACCTCAGCACTCTCTTTCTAGGCATTTTTTCTTTTGGAGACCTCAATGTATTTACTATTTTCTAGAGCCCTCAGAGGCTCCCATTCCACACCCACCCAGAAGAATCCTCCAGGCTCTGCTCAACTCCATGATTTCCCTCCACTGCCCTCAAGAAAGGTTTTTTCTACTTTCTTTGTGTTTCACAGCAATCAAAACCCAGGAGGTGCATGTTAATTTGATAACAGTTCGTGTTTCATTTAATCTTGAGCAAAACAAAAGTTGGAAGTGATGCACCTGCATATTGCCCTGAAATCCACTAGTGACTGAAGACCCCAAAGTGTGAAAATAGAGAATTTCTCTGTGCTGACACCTCCCTGCACAGCACATGATTGTGGAGCACACACCTTTGCAACCTGCTTATTTCTTAAATAGAAATTCTCACTGGATGCAGAACTTAAAATTCATTTGTCCACAGCAAGTGCTCAAGGAAAAGCTTGATCTTAAGAGTTACTCAGTGAGATACACAGAGAACCTCATGTTTTAGGGCAAAAAACATTGCTTTATTGGGGTACAGGAGGCTGCCAGGCCTTGCCGTGTGCAGGTCAGATGACACTTTTTGTTCCCTGGCTCTGGCTCATGTGCTGAGCTGGTGATGAGAGGAAAGGGCTGGACACACGTGACTTTCCACACACATATTTTTCAATAATAAATTTTTAGTTGGGTTGGGTTTTTTTGGAATATCTCCTGGTTTTGGTTGTTTTTGCTATTTGACTCTTGGTTCCCCTGGTGGTATTTTTAAGTATTGCTGCTTGATTGAACCGTGTCCCCTCAGAGTATTCAAAGATACTAATCTGACAAACAATCTTTATTGAAGCATTCAGAGAAATGCAAAACCTCATTATTTTTAATCCAAAATTGTGTACTAGAATCATGTTGTGTCTGTCCTGTACTACATAGTCTTTCATAGATGCACAGGTTCTTGGGGCAGAAATGTTGTCACTCCCATTCCCTGACTACCTGCAGGGATTCTCTCACCCAATTCCTGTGCTTTTGTCCATTTATGAGAAGAGCTCTCACAAATTCCTGCACTGAAGGTACAGCTGTGACCTGCAACTTCACCAAAATTCCAGAGGCTGGCAGGTTTTGGCTTCCAGACATCTCCCAGTGGGGCTTCCAAGAAGAGTCTGATGGGGACTGGCACAGTCCAGAGCTGCTTAGCTCGGGGTGGGAGAAGGTCACTGAGGGGTGGATGCCAGATGTTTACAGAAGAAAATGAAACCAGGTTTTCACAGGCAACACTTTCCCTAGAAATGCATCCTGTACTACATCCACGTGCTGGGAGCCTGCCTGACCTTTGGGGTGGGCTCCGTTTACATGCTGGTTCAGACCGTCCTGTCCTACCTGATGCAGCCAGAACTTCACAGCAAAGACATCTTCTGGGCCCGCCTGGCGGTGTTCCTGTGGAGCTGCTCCAGCATCCTGAGCAGTATCCTTTGCATCAACACCAAAACCCAGCAGCCTCCACAGCATTTACACCTGCTTGAACTGAACCACCACCATGTGCCACAAGGGGCCTGTCATCCTTGATTCTAGAGCCCGTAGTGTTCTGTATTCCAGCCTGGGAATTTCAGGGAAAATGGTTAATCCCTTTAATACTTTTAATATCCCCCATGGATATTTAAAGGGATGGTTACTATGCTTTCTCCTCCCCTTTCCTACTGCACACCAGAGACTGAAGATAGGAAAAATAAGAGTTTATGCCCAAGAGGTCTGACTAAATTAAGAAATGTGAGGTCAAATGGAATTGTGCTTAAGGGATGGGTGGTTTCAATGGGGGAAAAAACAGGTAAGAAATAAGTTCCTGAGACAGGAGTGGTGAAGGGTGTTAAGAGTTGGATACAACTGAAAAAGAAACCCAGAATGTAGCACAAGAGGAAATACTCTAACAGACCATGTGGAACAGGGCTGGCTGTTCCAGCTGGCTCCAGAACAGGGAGGATGTGCTGGCACTTGCCAGAGAGACAAGTCTGGAGCACATTTCAAGGGTGAGTCTGGGGACTTTGACCTCTGATCTCCTCCCTGCCCATCCTGCAGTTCAAAAGACAAGATATTTCTGACTGGCACTCCCTACCACCTTCTCTCACCATCAGAATCCATCACCCCCTTTAGCTCTGGATTCCAAATGCTGGAAGCAGCTGTGGGGTTTAGGGAAAGAGGGAAACACAGAATGGTTTGGGTTGAAGGGACCTTCTAGTCCTGCCCTTTTACAGTGGGAATCCATTCCCGTTTATCCATATATTCATATAAAAAATGTGGGCAAACCCGCTCAGAAACAGAGGCCTTTTTCCTCTCCTGAATCATTGAAGCAGTCAAGAAACTGCACTAGAACAGTTCCCCTGCTCACCACAATGGACTTGAACATTGGATTTAAAAATTAAACTCAGTTTTTGTCAAACAGGGCACCACCACCAAATCTCCTGAATTCCAGAGACACAAGTTGCAAAACACATTTCTTGAACACTGTCCCACCTGCAGCTGTGTCCAGGCCACTGATTTAATCCTCACCAATCCCACTCATTTCCAGGCTGGCAGCCAATACCAACACTAAACTGTATGTCCCATTTCCCAAGGCTGGAGAATCTCGCTGGGCTCCCATCCTTGCTGCTGCAGGAGTGTAGAATCTGTAGAGTCAGAGGAGCGGGAACTGAGCTCAGGCTTGTTATCCATAATGTAAATAAGGACCCTCGCCTGCTGAGGGGCCTTGGCAGACAGCAGGGAAATCACCCAAGAAACTTGGAGAATTGTTGTATTTAACATAAACTTTTGGTATTAATAAACAAGATTTTCAGCTTTGAATAGGGAGGAACCAAACTGGGGGAAAACTAAAATATGTTCTATGAACAATATGATCTGCTGTAAGTTATGCTCCTCTTACAGATGCCAACAGCCCACAAACCTCAAATCTGTAGAGGTTTTTGTGCCAGTGTAGTCTAACCAAAATTATAGGGAAGTTGTAGAAATAATGATGTGCACGTAGATAACAACGAAAGGGGAAGAAAAGGGAGATTATTGTTCTAAATTACCAGCTCTTATTGTAATAAGGGAAAGATCGGGAAAGGGAGAAGTCTGTGGCCTTGATTGTAACAGGTTGTGGAAGAAAGAAGGAAATGTATTTTGTGTCAGCTCTGGGGTCACACGCACTGCTGGGGCACCTCCAGTCCTGGGGACAGCTCTGGGCCCCTCCTGACCAGAAGGACATTGAGGGGCTGGGGTGTGTCCAGGGAAGGGAACGGAGCTGGGAAAGGGACTGGAGCACCAGGAGTTGCTGAGGGAGCATCTGGGGGGCTCAGCCTGGAGAAAAGGAGGCTCAGGGGAACCTTCTGGCTCTGCACAACTCCCTGACAGGAGGGGACAGCCAGGATGGGGTTGTGCTCTGCTGCCAGGGAACAGGGACAGGACAGCAGGAAATGGCATCAAGCTGCACCAGGGGAAGTTCAGGTTGGATATTGGGAAAAATTTCTTCCCGAAAAGGGTTGTCCAGTACTGGCACAGGCTGTCCAGGGCAGAGGTGGAGTCACCATCCCTGGAGGGATTTAAAAGGCATGTGGATGTGGCACCTGGGGACATGGGTTTGTGGTGGCCTTGGGGAACAATTGGACTCAACCTCAGAGGTCTTTTCCAACCTGAACAATCCTCTGAATCTATGAAAATACTCCTGGTCCTGTGGTGGAGTGTAACAGCAGAACTGCCAGCCCAGAGCAAGGCAGTTGATGACCCACTGAAATGGGCAGGGGGGGAATGGGAACCAGTTACTTTTATATCACAATGATTAAAATCTTCCCAGTGCAACAGGAACCTCCTAGAGCTGTCCAGTTCAATTAGCAGAAAATTGGGTGTCTGAGTCAGTAACCAGAACTCCTAAACCACTCATGTCCATTTTCTAATAAGCTTTGGATGTCTGGGTTCTTAAGGCTATATCTGTGCCAGGAGGTACAGCCTTGTTCACCACCAAAATTAATCTTTTGCATCAGGAGGCTCTTGATGTTTAATTTCATTAACCACTGAAGAAGTTAATTTCTTAATCCTGAAATGAAATGAGATGAAAATCAGGTTGTCTATAAATTAATGATCTGAGTTGTTGTGTTGCAGGAGCACTTTTTTTGGTACCTTCCCTCTGTAAGATGTTGAAAAAGTGACATCAGACACTCCAGAAGGATCCAGGTCTTGGATTAAATGGGAGATCATTGTCACATGGGGTGAAATCCAAAGCACTTCTCAGACCTTGACTAAGAGGGAAACAGAAAAGCCAGAAATCCTCTTTGCTGCAGGTGATACAGAATTCCAACCTGTGGCCCACAGCAAGAATGCAAGGTAGATGAGACATTGAAAAGCCATCAGAGAAAGAGAACTAGACTCTTTATTAGAGTGGATAATACCAGTAAAATTAAATTAAAATGCTCAGTAAGTGCTCACATCTGATCATAGCTTAAACATTTCAGTGAGACCACTGTGTTTGATCAGAGGCAGCATACAGAGAACAGAAATAATGAATTTAGGTTCAAAGGAACCTTTTCACGTGACCATAACCAGTGGGTTGGGACAAGCCATGGGTTGAAGGGCACGATGTGAACAGTCCATGGCAGCATTTCTGCTCCTCAGGCTGAGACCTCAGAGCCTCAGCTTGACACAGTCTGCAAGTTCCGTGTTCCTCATCTTTAGCCTTGAATCTTCCTTAACCTCTTCCCTCAGTGTTTGTGTCCTCGGTTGTGCTGTACAGTGGCCTTTATGGACAGAACCTGGTGCAGAAGCTGCACTGGAAGCCCCAGGAAAGAGTAAGTGATTGCAGGGTGAAATGGAGATCAAGTCCAGCTGGATTTGGAGGCACAGGTGGGAGCTTCCTGCAGCTCACAACACAGAGTGGGGTGGGAGAGGAGAGAGCTGTACCAGCCAAACCAGCCAGCAGGTCCTTGGAATGATGGGATCCCAGGCTGGGGTGGGTTGGGAGGGACCTTAAAGCCCATCCAGTCCCACTCCTTGCCATAGGCAACTTGGACTTCCAGGGATGGAGCAGCTACAGCTGCTCTGTGCAGCCTGTGCCAGCACTTGCTGAAGTTCTAATCTCACAAAACTCTTGGATCTTCAACTCTGTATTTATACCTTCTGCATCTTGAGGAGGGTCTCAAACCTCTCTACTCTGTTAACTGAGCTCTGGATTGAGCCTTCAGATTCTGCAGGTGGGTATTAAATTCCCAGGGGGCATCATCCCAGATGGAGCAGGTGTTCTCCTGGTCATTCTCATTCCTCAGCATTTCATCATTGGAGACTCCAGTTACAATAAGGGATTTAGGTCTCCAGTGGGAATAGTTGTAGTTGCAGGGTCTCGTGGGAGATCACAAGTCACTGGCCATCCTTGTGCCACTGCAGGTTCCAGAGCAGATTTCACATGATCTTTTCCCCTCTGTAACGCAGGGCTACACCCCCCACATCATCAGCACAGTCTCTGAGTGGTCGCTGGCATTCTCCTTCCTCAGCTTTTTCCTCACCTACATCCGTGACTTCCAGGTAAAACAAAGTTAATGTTCTCTGTTTCTGAAGAGCCCAGTGTGGTGCAATGGGCAGCCTTAGATTTTATGGGATCATGGATTCATTTTGGTTGGAGAAGACCTTTAAGGTGATGGAGTCCAGCCATTAACCCAGCATGGGTCAGTCACCAGGGCTGGAGACCCATGAGAGGCTCTAAGTGACCCCCCCAGAGTCTGTCTCTGCTGTGTTATCGCAGCAGCTCCAGCATCAGGCTGGCTTTAACTGGCCCTGACTGGCTTCACTTCCAGCCCAGTCACAGCCACAGGGGCCTTTTCCTCCAGGACAAGGCAAAGGTCCATAGCACAGCTAGGAGCCAGGCACGTGGTTCTGAGCTGAGCTGTTGGTGTCGCCAAAAATCTTTGGTGTTTCCTCTGGCCACTGAACTTCCTAGTGCCAAGGCAGCGAGGGAGCCACTCACAGGGACTCCCTTTGCTTTCCTCCACAGAAAATCTCCCTGCAAGCCATGGTCAGCCTGCAGGGCCAGACCCTGCACGAGAGCCCAGGGAGCTTCAGGGCAGAGGAGCAGGCAGTGCTCATAGCAGGGAGCATCTGATAGATGAAGAGAACTCAGGAATTTAATAGCAATAACAGCTGTTATTTCTAAACATTTATTTTATATTTTAAAAAGTATGAAGTGATTGTCTTGTACTTCATATCAAGGGCTTTGCTATTAACCCACAGAAATGCAAATGTTACCGGTACTGTGAATGAGTCTGTGACATTTCTACATTTTCCAATGTCATGAAGGATTAAATGAAGGTTATTAATGAGTTGTGTCTCCTTGTCTCTTCCTCCACACCCAGGTTCACCTCCCTCACCCTCCTCTCTCCAGTGCTCCTCAAGCCCAAATCCTTTTGGGTGGCGGAGCCTCCGGCCTCACCTCTGCTCCCCTGGGCCCAGGGGGCCGATCCATACCCTGCACTTAGGGCCAGATGGGATGGACCCAAAGCCACCTTTGAGCAGCCCATAGGGAAAAACCTCTGCTCTCAGGGAACAGGGACAGGACAAGAGGAAACAGCATCAGGTTGTACCAGGAAAGTTTCAGATTGGACATCCAGAGGAATTTCTTCCTGGAAGGGGTGGTCAGGCATTGGAAGGGGATTCCCAGGGAGATGATGCAGTCACCATCCCTGGAGGTGTCAAAGGAGTTCCTGGACATTGCACCCAGTGCTCTGGGCTGAGTGACAAAGTGGGTATTGGTCACAGGTTGGACTTGATGACCTTGGAGGGCTTTTCCAACCCTAAAGGTTTTGGGATTCTGTGATTGTCCTGCTGTGGATGGTTCTTCCTTCTCCCAGTCCCTGCCTTTGCCTCTGCAACTCTGGTGGTATAATTGGGTCACTTCCCAGTGAAGACTGAGGCACAAACGCTGAGAACCTCAGTCTTCTCCATGTCCTGGGTAAGCAGGTGTCCCATTTCCTTCTGGAGAGGGTCCATACTGTCCCATCTTCCTTTTATCACCAATGTACCTATAGAAGATTTTCTGTTGCCCTTGATGTCCCTGGCCAGATTTAACTCTATCAGGGTTTCAAGTTTCCTAATCTGATCCCTGGCTGCTCAGACAGTCCCTCTGTATTCCTCCCAGGCTGCCTGTCCTTGCTTCCACACTCTCTGAGTTTGTCCAGGAGCTCCTTGTTCACCCTCAGAGGCCTCCAGGAGTTTTTGTCCAACTTCCTCGTGCTTAGGATACGTCGCTCCTGAGCTTGGAGGTGATCCTTAAATATCAACCAGCTCTCCTGGGTCCCTCTTCCCTCCAAGGCTTTATCCCATGAGACTCAACCAAGCAGATCCCTGAAGTGACACCCTGAATCCCAGGGATCACTGTGCTCTCCTTGTTGCCCTGAGGATCCTGAATCCACCATTCCACGTTCGCTCAGCCCAGGCTGCCCTTGAGCTTCTCATTCCCCACCAGGTCCTCCCTGCTGGTGAGCACAAGAATTTATCCTCAGTGCATTCCAGAACCTCCTGGATCAATTATGCTCTGCTGTGTGCTGAACATGACACTGCTGCTGTCTGTGCAGAGCTTGATCTGATGGGTGTTCCTGGTACAGCCCATAAAAGCCACCCCCAGGTGGATTCCTGGGGTGCACCCAGCAATGCCTAGACCTGGGTCAGTGCTGGGCTTGGCTACCTCAGGTTTACGGTCAGACTTGATAATCTTGAGGGTCTTTTCCAATCTAAATGAGCCAATGATTCTGTCTGGGACAGGCCTCTTGGAAGGTTTGTGCCTCACACGGAAGTTCTGAAGCTGTGGTGGGTCCCCAGTACAGGAGACAGGCACAGGGACAGTCCTGGCCAGGGACTCCAAGGCACCAGGTGTGGCTGATGGTAACAACTTGCACCATCTTCCTGATCTGTTCTGTCCAGCACTCACTGCCACCTCTGCTCTTTGGACTCTGAAATTCCTAAAAGGTCTTCCACCGATTATTCCCAGGAATTTGCTTGAAGTAAGTTGTAATTCAGATCCTAAATCCACGGATTTTGTATGTACTTAGCACAGCAATCCCAGTGTGTAACACCTTCCTGCCAGCCCAGCCTGCATTCAGGGATGGCCAGCCAGTCCCCTTCACTCCTGGGGTGACAGCCAGCATTCCCAGAACTCTAGTTCTTGTCACAGACTCGTCATGAATCACAGGAGTTCAAGGATGAACAGGGCAGCAAAACCCAATCTGTGCTACGGACAGGATGAGGAACAGCTCCAACAGCCTCAAGGTCCTTGGCTGTCAGAAACCCCTTTGTTCCTCTTGGCACAACCTTCCCCCATCGACACATCAAGAGGCTTCTCCTGGCTCTCAGTGATCCCTCCAACCTTGCACTCACATTCCAAGGAAGATCTCTCTCTTCCACACCTGGTTTCACTGTTTTTCTGAACTGAACCAGGTGTTTTCCATCACTACATTGGACAACCAAATCCTGGTCATGTTTCTTCAAAATTTTGTACTGAGGATTCTTCTCCCAACTTTTGAGTATTTTATTTCTCTACAAAAAACTCAAGCATATGGACTACTTTGTCAGGGAAAAGAGGTTCTGGGAGAAAGAAGACATTGTAGAACGTCAATACTGGAATCCTCCAGTGAAACAAGAGGAAAAGACAACTCAGCTTCATTATTTCTTGAGATCATTGTAAAACAGAGGAAAGACATTTGTTAGAGAACAGTGAGCAAAATCTGTTGGAAGAGTATCTTCTGCAGGTGATTGCAACACCAGACACATGACACGAGGCTGCCTCCATGTCCTTCCCAATTCCCACTTCATCCTTTCAGGTGGGATGGAGTCAATGTCCTTCACAGTAGCCCCAGGTGACGCCGTGTTCGGGATTTGAGGAGACTGCTGATCACACACCTCTGTTTTCAGGAGAGCTCCCACAACAGCCAGGTTTTCTCCTTCTCTCGCTGTGCACCCCCAGCAGGCTCGGGATGGACAGGAATTTGGGGATGTACAAGGAACTGGGAACAGACACAGCGTGGACAGTCTGCCCAGACTGATCAAAGGGATATTCCGTGCCACAGGAGGCCATGCTCAGCAAATAAAAGCTTCGTGAAAGCAGGAGGATGGAACAACATTTCTGGTCACAGCATTTGTCTTCCAAGTGAATAGTGCACACAGAAAATGGCTGATCTTCTGCCTGCTGACAGGATGTGGTGACTGAATTCTTGATTTTACTTTTTGTAAAGCAGCTTTTGCTTGGCCTGTTAAACTGCCTTTATCTTCACCCACAGTTCCATTCTTCCATTTTCCCCCATCCCACAGGAGGGGAGCGAGTGGAGCACGTAGGTGTCTGTCCCAGAACACCCATTGAGCCCATGGATGCCCACAGTACCACCCTGACTTGCTTGTTCCACCACACTTCCCTCCTACCAAGTACTCTCAATCACTGCAGACTTTATTTCCATTACTTACCCTCCCTCCTCACCCACCACTGTGCATCTGGTCCATCACCTTGGTCCAGCTCAAGCTCTTCCTGCTCCTGGAAGTGTCACAGGCTGGGCTGGATGGGGCTTGCAGCAACCTGGGCTAGTGGAAGGTGCCCATGGCAGGGAGGGGAATGAGATGAGCTGTAAAAGTCCCTTATACCCCAAAGCCTTCTCTGTGATTCTTCAGAGCAGGAACTTATTTCTTCCCTTGTAAAAACCTCTCTTGCTTCTCCAATCCACTGGAATTTTTCCCACTGTCAACAATTATATAAATAAGGAATTTGGGACTAAGCTCTCTAAGAAACAGCCATCCTACACCAAAACCCTATAGATAAACTGGGCATCCATGGGATAATAAATGAAAACCCTGTAGATGAAAATTTGACTAAAATGAAACAAAATAAGAATAAAAACAAAAGCAAAGACAGTAAAAAAGCCTCCTGTGAACACAAATCCGCAGCAGAGCTCTGCTGGGATTGGTGATGTTAAACATAAACATAAACATAAATAGACAAGAAGACAACAATCACAAACTCTGCTGGCAAAAGCAGTTATTAATTGGTGGAAGAGAAACTGAAAAACTGCAGAAGGAACCTGCAAGGATCAAAGACATGGACAACAGGACAAGGAAAAGTGTCCCTACACATACAACAGAGCATGTGGGAAAATACACACAAAGTTCTATAAAAATCAGGATGTAAAGACAGTCTGAGGGCACATCCCCTCCTACAAGGCAAACTAAGGTACCATGAATGAAGGTGGGAAGAGACATGTTCAAACAGCAACAAATTAAAAGACACTCATTGAGGATCGTTAAAAATAACACCCAGGGATAAAGAAGTCTTTTAGCTTTGAGAAATTATTATTAACAGAATTCTGTTTAGAAAAAGTACATCTTGCAAAACAACCCCACAACCAAATTTCCACATTGCACAGCTGGAGCTGGCCATGGCCTTATAAAGGCTCACAATAATGACAGGAAGAGCCATTAATCCAAACTGTCAAAGGGCTCCTCCTGCCTCTGTCTTCATATCTGCAAAAGGTTTTGTACAAATACCTGCATTGTTACTGTCTAAAGCCTAATTCCCAGCTCCTTTAAATAGCATTTATTAACAACTGCCTGTTGACCTCTTCTGAAAACTGACAGCTCTCAGGAATTCAAAGTTCTCATGCAATGAGAAACACAAACAAAAAAATATCTACAACTAGGGTTTGCAATTTGCATCGGGGTTCCATGAGCCAGGCTATGGAATTTGGAAGAGGAAAGTTTATTTTCTAAGACTAATATAGAACCCCTAGATTCAAAATATGGGGAATGGCAAAAATGTCTGTGCTCTTGGATCCTGTCCCAGAAGTAGAATTTGATGGTCCAAGTCTCTTATTTCTGGCATTTAACAAAAACCTACAGTTCTCTAAATACACACAAATTTCATCTAGTTCTTCCACCTGCCAGAAATACTCATTTAAGCAAGGGATCTCCTCCTGAAGTCCCTGAAGAGGTGATGCACAGGGCTGGGATCCCCAGGGCAGGGGTTTCAGCTCTGCTGCATTTCCCGGCGCATTTCCTCCAGCGCCGCCTCGCGCTCCCGCAGCAGCTGCTTCAGTCGCTTGATTTTTTCATCCCGGATTGTCTCATCCAGGTCTGGGGGAGCCACGGGGAAGGCGTCATCTCGGAAAGAACCTTCCAGAACGGAAGCATCCTCTTCAGGGTTCACTAAAACTGAAATGCCCGGGTGGGCAGTGTCACTGCAGCGGGGGAACGTGTCCTGCTCTGAGTCCCTCCCTTGGGACGCTCCAGCAGAGCCCGTGGGAACAGCCGGCTGCGGTGGGGCTGCGGGAGGGGACACACTCCTGCT